GGGAGGCAGAGGCGGGAGGATAGCTTGAGCCCAAGAGTTCGAGACCTGCCTGGGTAATATAGCGAGACCCCGTTCTCCACAAAAAGGAAAAAAAAAAAAAAAGACTGAAGTGGCTCTAGTGCCCTTTGTTCATAAGTAAAAAAGGTAAAACCTAACTCGAGTTTATTTCTTATAAATTACTATTTTAGGCGGAAACAAAATTCAGGCTTAACCCATCATAAACCTGCAATTAATCTCTGATTACATAACCAGGAAATTTCCACCTGAATCATACAAATAAGGTGACTACATAATTGTAAGCAATTCTTGAATTTGGTTTGCCTTCTCGCACGCCCTTTATAAAACCCTTTCCTTTATGCCGCTCAGGTGGGCCACATATTATGGCCGGGTGCTTTCCATTTCACCAATCACCGCTCAAATAAACTCGTTAACATTTTAACATTGATTCCCTTTAATTTTTAAGAGAAGGGGCTGGGCGCGGAGCCTCATGCTCCTAATCTTAGTACTTTGGAAGGCCAAGGCTGGCGGATCACTTGAGGCCAGGAGTTCCAGACCATTTTCTGCCATGGCGAAACCACTTATCTACTAAAAATACAAAAATTAGCCAGGAGTGGTGGCGCAGTTCCGTAATCCCAGCTTCTCTGGGGGCTGAGGCACGAGAATCGCTTGAGCCTGAGAGGCGGAGGTTGCCGTGATCTCGCACTGCACTTCAGCCTGGACGGCAGAGCAAGACTCCGTCTCAAACAAACAAAATGTTTCACAAAAGAGACTGGGAGCCCCCACCGGCCGCAGTTCTTCCCACGCAAACACCGGGTCGGGATTCTGCCCTGATGACCCGCCTGACATCCCTGAACAATCTGGGAAATAATTGGGGCTGCCTGAAGAGGTCCTAAGGGAGCTCCAGACATGGCGCCGCAGGGACAGGGCGGGACGCTGGGGTCCCGACTATGGGCCCAGCCGCCGTCTTGCGGCCAGAGGGGCCTGAGGCGGAGCTGCGCCAGAGGAGACTCTGGTCTGCGACCCGGGAGCGGACTGTGGAGAGGCCGGTCCTGCTGGTTTCACAGCCTGGTCTCCCCTCTCGGGTTGCCCAACTCCGCACACTCACCCTTTCCCAGGTTCCAGGATGTCCTGGCATCTTAGCTGTGCGTCTCCCTGCAGATCACAGGTCAACAGAGGCTGTGACAGAGTCACCGGAGGCTCCCGAGGTGTAGGAAGCGGAACAGTAGGGACGGATCCCAAACTCTAGAGAGAGCAAAAAGCAAAGTCCCCGCCGAATGTCGGAAGCCACGCCCTCCCCTCCGGCGGCGCCCCTGATTAGGCGGTTCCCGCGCCAGCGCCACTGATTGGATAAAGCAACAGCACTCTCCCCATACCACCACCCGCCCCACTCTGCGTTAGTGCATTTTACGGCCTGAAAAACATGCTAAAAGTAGGTAAGATAACATGCACAAGGAATTACAGTTAATTAAGAAGTAAGCTGAGACATGAATGCACTTACTCTTTTCCTTACCTGGGTCTTGTATAATGCATCTTATTTGCTACTTAAGGGTAAGAAAAGAACATTTGGACTTTTCTTTTTCTTTTTTTTTTTTGAGACTGCGTTTCGCTCTCATTGCCTAGGCTCAAGTGCAGTGGTGCGATCTTGGCTCACTGCAACCTCCTCCTCCCAGGTTCAAATGATTTTCTTGCCTCAGCCTCACGAGTAGCTGGGGTTACAGGCGCATGCCACCACCCCCGGGTACTTTTTGTATTTTTAGTAGAGATGTGGTTTCACCATGTTGGCCAGGCTGCTCTCGAACTCTAGATCCCAGGTGTTCCGCCCGCCTCCGCCTCCCAAAGTGCTGGGATTACAGGCGTGAGCCACCGTGCCCTGCCCATTTGGAAATTTTTAAACCACTTTTTAATGATTTTCATAATGCAGGAAAGAACCTCATCCCATCCCTGAGCCCCTCTCTCACCATACTGTACTGTGCTGCTGACCACATTGTGGGATGGCCATTAGAAATGAGGCGGGGGTGGGGGGCAGCCCAGGCTGAGAATGGTGTAGAAAGAATTATGTTACCCGGCGGGGCACGGTGGCTCACGCCTGTAATCTCAACACTTTGGGAGGCTGAGGCGGGAGGATCACGAGGTCAGGAGTTCCAGACCAGACTGACCAATATGGTGAAACCCCGTCTCTACTAAAAATACAAAAATTAACCGGGCGTGGTGGCGTGCGCCGGAAACCCAGCTAGCTACTCTGGAGGCTGAGGCAGGAGAACTGCTTGTATCCGGGAGGCGGAGGTTGCAGTGAGCCGAAATTACGTCACTGCACTCCAGCCTGGGTGATAGAGCCAGACACCGTCTCAAAAAAAAAAAAAAAGCTGGGCGCGGTGGCTCAAGCCTGTAATCCCAGCACTTTGGGAGGCCGAGATGGGCGGATCATGAGGTCAGGAGATCGAGACCATCCTGGCTAACACGGTTGAAACCCCATCTCTACTAAAAATACAAAAAATTAGCCGGGCGTGGTGGTGGGCGCCTGTTGTCCCAGCTACTTGGGAGACTGAGGCAGGAGAATGGCATGAACCCAGGAGGCAGAGCTTGCAGTGAGCCGAGACCCCGCCACTGCACTCCAGCCTGGGCAACAGAGCAAGACTCCCTCTCAAAAAAAAAAGAAAGGCTCCTCAGTCATTCCGTGTGAAGTGGCTATTCCAGGGTAATTGTGCCCTGACTACACTGCATTTCAGTTTGGCTTCTCTTTTTTAAAATCACTGGATGACTCTCACGAACAGGGGTATTTAATTTTCTAATTGAAAATAACCAGCTATTCTTTGTGGGTGTCCTGATTTGATTTGCTAGTTTAGACCCTGGAGGTAGGGGTGAGGAAATATTGGGTCACATCAGAATACCTGATCTCACTTAGAGGATATATAGGAATTTCTTAATAATATCTAACAGTTTTCTCAATACCCATTATATTTAACAGTGATAGCTTACAGGGCAGGAAGGGGACACAGAGGACACAACCTTAGAATTTTACTTTGGTCATAAGTTTTTTTGTTTTGTTTTGTTTTGTTTTTGGAGACAAGGTCTCACTCTGGTGCTCAGGCTGGAATGCAGTGGCACAACCATAGCTCATAATTTGGTTGTAACAGTTCTTTAAAAAATATTGTTGGCAGGGTTTGATGGCTAACACCTGTAATCGAAACACTTTGGAAGACCATGGTGGAATGATTGCTTAAGCCCAGGGGTTCAAGACCAGTCTGGGCAATGTAGTGAGACTCAGTCTCTACAAAAGTTTTAAAAATTGGCCTTGTTTGGTGTTGCATGCCTATAGTCCCAGCTACTCAACAGGCTGAGGTAGAAGGATCACTGGAGGTTGAGGCTGCAGTGACCTTTCATTCAGCCACTACACTCCAGTCTGGGTGACAGAGTGAGACCTCTATATGTACACACACAAAAAAAATCGCACACACATATATATACACACACAAACATAAACATATATATTCCCTATATATGTATATATACACCCTATATAGATAATCAAAATAATATATATGTTTGCCAGGCATGGTGGCTCACACCTGTAATCCCAGCATTTTGGGAGGCCAAAGTGGGCAGATCACATGAGGTCAGGAGTTCGAGACCAGCCTGCCCAACATGGTGAAACCCCTACTCTACTAAACATACAACAATTAGCTCAGCGTGGTGGCACGCATCTGTAATCCCAACTCTTCGGAGACTGAGGCAGGAGGATTGCTTGGACCTGGGAGGCGGAGGTTGCAATGAGCCAAGATTGCACCATGGCACTCCAGCCTAGGTAACACAGCACAACTCTGTCTTTAAAAAAAAAAAAAAAGTATGTTGAAAGAAATTTAAGCACAGAAGAAGAGTGAAAGACTACGGTGGGGAATGTGATAAAAGGTGAGTGTAGCTCTACAGCTCAGTGAGACTTGGTTTCCATCTTAAGGAACTGCCCTCCCATACTGAAACCACAACCCAGCACATGCCATTTCTCACACTATTTATACTTTGCACAAAGGCAGCAGAAGGAGGTCAGCATCATCGTTCATGACATGGAAGTCTATTATCCACTGAGACATTTTAAAAATGTTATTGTCTTAAGCCCTTTTCCTTCTAATAAAGCCTATACAAATACACACAAGTCTGAAGCTACTCAAAATAAAAAATCAGGTTTTTGAAATCCCATAAATAAGCAAACACAGAAACAGCCACTTTGGCCAAGGAGAGGGTGGGATGGAGGGGTTTAGGAGGCTGCTCGCTTCACCTCCTGGCCCCATGTGGAGGAGGGGATGGAGTCTAGGGAGACCCAGGGAAGTCACTTGTTCTGACTGGGCTTTCCTCCACTTCCACACTTTGTTAACCATTTCCTGGGAAGAGCTTAGGAACCTCCTGTGCTCTAGTGAGTCAGGGCCTCCCCTCACAGGGTATTGGCAAGGAGAAATTCTGAGACTCTGTGACTCAGAAGCTAGCATAGTGTTTGATAAGTACCTGTGGGTACTGTCATCCTCTGTAACTATCATGTGGCCTTGGAGTGTTCAGATGGCCTGGCCTGGCCTGGGGCTTGGTGGAGTTGTTTGAGGGTCAGCTGCTTTAGGCTCCCACTTTCTCCTCAATCAAAGTGGCTGCTTTTGTGTCTGTTTATGGTTTTAAAAACCTGATATATAGCCGGGCGCGGTGGCTCACACCTGTAACCCCAGCACTTTGGGAAGCGCAGGGGTGTGGATCACGAGGTCAGGAGTTCAAGACCAGCCTGGCCAACATAGTGAAACCCCGTCTCTACTAAAAATACAAAAATTAGCCAGGCATGGAGGCACAGCTCCTTGGGAGGCTGAGGCAAGAGAATCGCTTGAACCCATAAGGCAGAGGTCGTGGTGATCTGAGATTGCGCCACTGCACTCCAGCCTGGGCAACAGAGCAAGACTCCGTCTAGAAATAAATAAATAATTTTTTAAAAACCCAAAAACCTGATATATAAATAGAACGTGCAGCTGGAGGTGCCAAGGCTCAGTGTCTAGAGCTGTGCTTCATGGGCTTGCTGGCTGGCCTGAGACCAGGTGAACTCTGGGTGTGAGGTGGTTCCCACCCTCCACCTACAATCCCCACCTCCTCTCCCAGGGCCTGAGTAACCAACACAAGACAGTGCTAAAGAGCGGGTGAGTGACGGGCTTCAAGCCCATCCAGGAAGATTTGAATGCCATCTGGGCTGGGGCTGTCAGGGTAGGGACTATGGCTGCCTGAAACCAGGACGGTCATAAAAGCTGAAATTTTAAAATAATCGTTATTATATATGTATTTATTTTTGAATAGCTATCTAGTTTATTATTTGAAATGCATGTGACCTTACACAGAAGGTTAAAGGCAAATACCCTTTTAGGTGGGCCCGGCTCAGCTCTGGGAGGGAACCCTGTCTGAAAAGGCTGCAATTTAGGCTGTTAGTCTTCATTCAGCCGAGCATCTGATCACATCTTCTGTCATTCCGGACCCGAGGGGGTGGGGTTTTACTTATTATCTAATCAGGGACGCTGGGCTGGGAACTGTCCAATCAGGAATGCAGCTAGAGCGGACAGGGCGGCTTCCGGGTTTGGCGGGGCCTTTGTCTCTCCGCAGCCGGAGCTCCAGGTTTTGACTTCACTGCTCTGTGTCCTCTGTTTGTAGAGGCCCAGTCTCTGTGGCTCCGTGACGTGCAAGTATTGGAGATCCATATCTAAGACGCCAGGGTCCCCGGAAACCTAGAAATGGTGAGAATGCCGGGTCCGACATCCCGAGAGAGGGGAAGGGACTATGGCGATACTCAGACCTCACCGCAGTCAGTTCCACAGTCTGCGCCCTGAGTTCTCGCCCGGATCAGCCTTAGTCCCCTTCGACCATAAGATGGCGGCTGCGCAGCCAGCCAGCCCCTCGGGCATCCTGTCTCTTCCCTGGTCAGTGACTGCGTCCTGGCCTGCAGCTCTCTCTGGGCGGCTCCGCACCCGCAACGCCGGGTCTTTCCCGGATTGTGCAGGGACCACGGGAGGGTCGTCAGGGAAGAATCCAGACGGATGCCAGGTTCATGAATGGGAAGAGCTTTGGCCCGTGGCGTTCCCAGTTTCTCTTTCCTTCTATTAAAAAATGTATGGGAGTCAAAAGGGTTGGCGCGGTGGCTCATGCCTGTAATCCCAGCACTTTGGGAGGCTGAGGCGGGCAGACCACGAGGCCAGGCTTTTCGAGGCAGTAGTTGTAATTACAGACGTGTGCCACCACGCCCGGCTAAATTGTTTTCTTTTCATATGGCCATTAGAAAAATAGATGAAGCAGTCATGGTCCCTACAATCCAGGAGCCAGTCTAGACAAAACAGCTGGATAAATGGTTAAATTAAACATCATATAATTGGTACAGTAAACAGATGTGTGCAGAAAACTTGGGCTCTATTTGTGCCACTTTCTTTATATAATTGTGACTTGTGATGTCATCACCTGAAGGGATATTTATTTCTTTTACCTTGTTAATACATATTTGTCTTTTAATAAAATTACCCTAGAAAACCTTTATAAATTTGTTTAAATTGCATATTAGTACATGTTACATATAATTGATAGGGCAGTGTCTAAGAAAGGTTAAAATTATACAAACTCTGAGATTTAAGGTTTTTTTAAGGTAAGTTTAGGAAAAACAGAACTGGAAATATCCCAGTGGCATAGAGAACAGAATTCTACGTAGAATCCACTGCCTGCCCCAGTTCTGCTCAGGTTCACCTTTTTGGAGGCGTTATATAGGTCTGGCCCTACCCTGAGGTGTTGCCTCATAGAACTGATAGTGGAGATCAGAGTTTTGACTGGTGAATTCTGCTGCCTTTCTAGAGCTGGTGCTTACAATTCCGGAAACACAAAAGCAAATAAATTTTAAAAATAAAGTATATATTTTAGGGTTATAATTTTTTATTGAAACTAGTACTTGCATTCTATCTAGCAACTTGTTTTCTATTCCTACAGATGTAGGAGTTGCTCCACAAGTCACAAAAAAGTAAACATAAAGAATATAAATTTTTCTAAAATACATTAAATTCTTTCTGCATTTCTCTCTGTCTATATTTAGCTTTTATTGTTTATATTTTTTAAAAAAAATCAATGACAGAGAAACAGAAGAAATAAAAATGCTGGACTTTAAATCCTGGGAATTATTAAACAGTACCAGCTCCCAGGGTGTTATAAAAATTAAATCACAGGCCGGGCGCAGTGGCTCACGCCTGTAATTCCTGCACTTTGGGAGGCCGAGGTGGGCGGATCACGAGGTCAGGAGATCAAGACCATCCTGGCTAACACGGTGAAACCCCGTCTCTACTAAAATACAAAAAATTAGCCGGGCGCGGTGGCAGGCGCCTGTAGTCCCAGCTACTCGGGAGGCTGAGGCAGGAGAATGGCGCGAACCCGGGAGGCGGAGCTTGCAGTGAGCCGAGATGGTGCCACTGCACTCCAGCCTGGGCAACAGAGTGAAGACTCCGCCTCAAAAAAAAAAAAAAAAAAAAAAAAAAAATTAAATCACATAATGTGTTATCTCAGGCACAGTGCCCTGTGACATAATCTTTTTTCTTTTTACTTTTGTTGTATCTCAGCACTTTTAACTATAACTTTTATAAGCCGGTTGAGGTGGCTCCTGCCTGTAATCCCAGCATTTTGGGAGGCCATGGCAAGTAGATCATGAGGTGAGGAGCCTGGCCAACTTGGTGAAAGCCTGTCTCCGCTAAAAATACAAACATTAGCCAGGTGTGGTGACGGATATCTGTAATCCCAGCTACTCTGGAGGCTGAGGTTGGAGAATTGCTTGAACCCATGAGACAGAGGTTGCAGTGAGCCAAGATCATGTCATGGCATGCCAGCTTGGGTGACAGAGCAAGACTGCAACTCAAAAAAAAAAAAAAAAAAAAAATTGAAAAATTTTTGTTATTTATTTCTAAGTATAGTCTTTTATAATATATATTTTTTTCTATTTTACTTTAAGTTTCAGGATACAAGTGCAGAACGTGTAGGTTTGTTACATAGGTATACATGTGTCATGGTGGATTGCTGTACTTACCAACCCATCATCTAGGTTTTAAGCCCGGCATGCATTAGCTATTTATCCTAATGCTCTTTCTCTCCTCGTCCCCCCACACCCCGACTGGCCCGGGTGTATGTGGTTTCTCTCCTTGTGTTTATGAGTGCTCGTTGTTCAATTCTTACTAATGAGTGACAACATGCAGTGTTTGGTTTTCTGTTCCTGTGTTAGTTTTCTGAGGATAATAGCTTTCAGCTGCATCCTTTTTATGGCTGCATAGTATTCCATGGTTGTGTATGTACCACATTTTCTTTATCTATTCTATCATTGATGGGCATTTAGGTTGGTTCCATATCTTTGCTATTGTAAACAGTGATGCAATAAACATATTAGTCTTTCTAGTAGAATGATTTATATTCTTGTGAGTATATACTCAGGAATGGTATCACTGGGTCAAATGGTATTTCTGGTCCTAGATCCTTGAGGAATCACCACACTGTCTTTCACAATGGTTGAACTAATTTACATTCCCACCAACATTGTAAAAGCATTCATATTTCTCCACAGCTTCACCAGCATTTATTGTTTCTTGACTTTTTAATAATTACCGTTCTGACTGGAGATTTATTTAGGTCTGGTGTTATAGATCCAATGCCAGTTTCTTTTCTCATAGTTAGAGAATAGATCAGAGAATGTTCCTGTGTAAAAAAAAATTATTTTATTGGATAATTTCAGTCATTTATGTAAGTCAGAACCAGTTGTCTTCACTTTCTTATTTTACCTTGAGTCAAATTATAAATTCTTTCCATGGCCACTTTGTAAATATGTATGTGTGTGTGTGTGTTTTTCAGGAACCATTGAAATTTAGGGATGTGGCCGTAGAATTCTCTCTGGAGGAGTGGCAATGCCTGGACACTATACAGCAGAATTTATATAGGAATGTGATGTTAGAGAACTACAGAAACCTGGTCTTCTTGGGTGAGGATAACTTCAATACAGAATTCCTATTATATCCTAAAGATTTCATTTTTCTTTTTTGTCTAATGTTTTTAGGTAATTTATGCTTTGCATAAGTGAGTTTCAGATCCCTGTTTTTATAAAAATTTTAGGGTTTCATCTCTGTAGAAAAGAATTTCTTTAAGCTGTTTCATCTTTTTTTTTTTTTTTTTTTTTTTTTGAGGCGGAGTCTTGCTCTGTCGCCCAGGCTGGAGTGCAGTGGCCGGATCTCAGCTCACTGCAAGCTCCGCCTCCCGGGTTCACGCCATTCTCCTGCCTCAAGACTCCCGAGTAGCTGGGACTACAGGCCCCCGCCACCATGCCCGGCTAGATTTTTGTATTTTTTAGTAGAGACGGGGTTTCACTGGGTTAGCCAGGATGGTCTTGATCTCCTGACCTCGTGATCCACCCGTCTCGGCCTCCCAAAGTGCTGGGATTACAGGCTTGAGCCACCGCGCCCGGCCAAGCTGTTTCATCTTGACCTGAACTTTCTGCATTCCTGAGCTAATCTGTATTCTTCACTCTAGATTAGAGTGGTAATTCCAGAAGTTTAGTGGCATAAAATATTATTGCCCACACTTTAAAATCTAATTATCAACACTAATTTTTGATTTGTTGTACTGGATAGTGAAATTAAGAACTAACAAATTTAAAATATTTTCTAAATATTTAGAAATTTCTTTTATAAATCAGTATTTTGGAATTGATTTACAAGACTCTTCTATTTCACCCTCTTTACTGAGCACATTGCCATGTTGGTGATTAGAGAATATGAGCAAGATTTATGTTATTTATTTTCAATAAAACAGGTATTGCTGTCTCTAAGCCAGATCTGATCACCTGTCTGGAGCAAGAAAAAGAGCCTTGGACTAGAAAGAGACATAGGATGGTGGCCAAACCAGGTAGGTGAGAGTGAAAGTGAATACAACAGATAACATAGATGAACGGTTTAAAGGTCAAAGAAAAAGCTAGTGCTTAATAATGTGATTTGGGAAGCTATGTTCCAAAGGAAATAGTTTCTGGAAAGCCTGAGTTTTTCTTTTCTTTTCTTTTTTTTTTCCTTTGAGAGATGGAGTCTCACTCTGTCACCCAGGCTGGAGTGCAGTGGCACAGTCTCAATCTCAGCTCACTTCTGGAAGGCCCAAGTTTTTCTTTTCTTTTTTTTTTCTTTTGAGAGATGGAGTCTCGTTCTGTCACCCAGGCCGGAGTGCAGTGGCACAGTCTCGGCTCACTGCAACCTCCACCTCCAGGGTTCAAGCGATTCTCCTGCCTCAGCTTCCCAAGTAGCTGGGACTACAGGTGTGCGCCACCATGCCCAGCTAATTTTTGTATTTTTTTTAAGTAAAGACGGGGTTTCACTGTGTGTTGGCCAGGCTGGTCTTGAACTCCTAACCTTAGGTGATCCACCCACCTTGGCCTCTGAAAGTGCTGGGATTACAGGCATGAGCCACAGCACCTGGCCGAGTTTTTCTATTTTGCTCTCACATAAGAGCGTCTTCTGTCTTATGCTTTTAAGTTCTCTTAGGACTCTGCTTTCCCTTCAGTGATCTGCCTTCTAATTTAGAGTGAGAGCCAAAGTCTTCTGAATGGCATATAAGAGACTGCACAATCTGAGTGCTTTTCCATTGTTTTGGGGGACACACAGATATCTGCATAATTTTGAGAAACTCTATGTTAAACTATTTTTTAAGTTCTCTTTTTGCATCATCTCTGAAATGTGTGAGAGTAGTAGGTTTTTGTTCATTTTTCTGCACATTCTATCCTGTTTGTATTACTATAGTCTTCAAATATAGTTTGAAATTATAAAGTATGATGTCGTGCAGCTTTGTTTTTATTTTCTCAAGAGTGCTTTCACTATTTAAAGTTTATTGTAGTTTCATATATAAATTTTAGACTTGTATTTTTCATTACTGTAAAACGCCACTGGAATTTTGATAGGGAGTTTATTGAATCTATAGATCAAGTGCCATTTTTTGAATCTATAGATCTAAGTGCCATTAACATGGCATTTTTTATTTTGAGACGAAGTCTCGCTCTTTTGCCAGGCTGGAGTGCAGTGGCACAATCTTGGCTCACTGCAACCTCTCCCTTCCAGGTTCAAGCTATTATCCTGCCTCAGCCCCCCAAGTAGCTGGAACTACAGGAGCTCACCACCACGCCCAGCTATTTTTTGTTTTAGTATACTAAGAGACAGAGTTTCACTATGTTGGCCAGGATGGTCTCCATCTCTTGACCTCGTGATCTGCCTGCCTCAGCCTCCCAAAGTGCTGGGATTACAGGCGTGAGCCACCACGCCTGGCCAACATGGCACTTTAACAGTATTTATTCTTTCAATCTATAGACATGAAATATTTCTAAATTTATTTGTGTCTTTTCTAATTTCTTTCATTGATATATCTTTCATTGTAAAGATTTTCTGCCTCTTTGATTATATTTCTTCTCAGAAATTTATTTTAATGCTGTCGTAAATAAGATTTTTTTTTTTTTTTGAGACAGAGTCTCACTCTGTTGCCCAGGCTGGAGTACAGTGGCGCAATCTCAGCTCACAGCAACCTCTGCCTCCCAGGTTCAAGCGATTATCCTGCCTCAGCCTCCCAAATAGCTGGGACTACAGACACGCGCCACCATGCCTGGCTAATTTTTGTATTTTTAGTATAGATGGGTTTCAGTATGTTGACCAGGCTGGTCTCAAACTCCTGACCTTGTGATCTACCCGCCTCGGCCTCCCAAAGTGCTGGGATTACAGGCGTGAGCCACCATGCCTGGCCCTTGTCTTCAGTTTCAATGGTTCTTTTTCATTTTTTTGACTAATTCTTTTGCCACATACTTAATGTTCTTTGTTAAAATAGAAGCATTGACAATAGGCAAAATGCAGTTTTGTATTAGTGTCTTTAAACTTGAAAAAGCAAACACCTCTTCAAGTTTTTATAACCTGTTTTCAGAAGGTAAAGATCTTTTATTGGGCCCCCAGGGTCATGAGATGCCCTCTGGGTTTGTAGTGGAAAGGGGATGTAGCTTGATCACAAGGCTGCTGGGTCTGCACTGGGGTTCACCTTCAGTTGGCTTCTTACAAGGGGTTTGGGTAGTTGTAATTCACATTTTATTTTTTGGACAGACTGAATTTCCCTCAAGACTTTGACCTGTAGGGCAGACACTAGGGCAGGTTTCTGCAGTCAGGTCTGTATATGGTAAGTCTTATTTAAGAATGTGGATGAGTATGGCATTCACTGTGTATCAGAGAGGATTTTTCCAGGTCACTGAGTGGGCTTTAACATAGGCAGAACTGGCTGTGAACTGTGGCTCAGGTATCTGAAACTGAGTCATTGAACTGCTTCAGGGACCAAGGTCTGCAGGCCTGCTGCATGGCTATAAGTGGGTACCTTTCTCAAGGCCTCTGAAAGGGTGTGACCTCTTACAGACTGTGGCTGGGAAAAGTATGAGATGATTACAGGGTAACTTCAGAATTATCAGAAGACCAAGTTGGGTAGGCCATTTCCTGGTCTACACTGGAAAACAGGAGTTCTGTAGTTTGCCACCTGCCTTCTGAAAAGGAGCATTCCTCAGAATTGGGCATTAGCAGTTTCACAACTCCCTCCGTGGATCTCAAAGCTCTCCTAAAGGCACTTAATTTGGAGATTGGGTCTTGCTACATAACCCAGGCTGGTTTTGAAATCCTGGCCTGAAGCAATTTTCCAACCTCAGACCGGGTGCAGTGGCTCACGCCTGTAATTCCAGCACTTTGGAGGCCGAAGTGGGCAGATTACGAGGTCAGGAGATAGAGATCATCCAGGCTCACATGGTGAAACCCCATCTCTACGAAAAATACAAAAAAAAAAAATTAGCCAGGCATGGTGGCAGGCGCCTGTAGTCCCAGCTACTCAGGAGGCTGAGGCAAGAGAATGGCATGAACCCGGGAGGCAGAGGTTGCAGTAAGCGGAGATCGTCCCACTGCACCCCAACCGGGGTGACAGAGTGAGACACCATAAAAAAAAAAAAAAAAAAAAAAATTGTCTCTAGTTTCTTTTAAATGCTTATTAAAAGTTTCTCATTAGTTTCTTTTAAATGCTTATTTATTAAAAATTTCTCATTAGAATCTTCTGTTTATGATTACACTTCATTTTCTTTGAAATTTTACTGCCGTGGAGCACATGCCAGTTATTCAAAATACCTGCCTTCTGTGAGTACACAGTCACATATTACAGTGATGTAGAGAATAGAGTTTTTTGTTGTTGTTGTTTCTTTTTTTTTTTTTTTGAGACGGAGTCTTACTCTGTCTTCAGACTAGAGTACAATGGTACAGTCTAAGGTCACTGCAACTTCTGCCTCCCAGGTTCAAGTGATTCTCCTGCCTCAGACTCCCGAGTAGCTAGGATTACAGCCGTGTGCCAAACCGGCCAGCTAATTTTGTATTTTTAGTAGAGACAGGGTTTCACCATGTTGGTCAGGCTGGTCTTGAACTCCCAACCTCAGGTAATCCACCCGCCTCAGCCACCCAAAGTGCTGGGATTGCATGTGTGAGCCACCACACCCAGCCTATTTAGAGAAATTTTTAATGGTGCATCAGTATTGCAAACCACATGTTTTTTTTTTTTTTTTTTTTTTTGAGGTGGAGTTTTGCTCTTATTGCACAGGCTGGAGTGCAATGGCGCAGTCTCGGCTCACTGCAACCTCCACCTGCCAGGTTCAAGCAATTCTCCTGCCTCAGCCTCCCTAGTAGCTGGGATTACAGGCATATGCCACCATGCCTGGCTGATTTTGTACTTTTTTTTCAGTAGAGATGGCGTTTCTCTATTTTGGTCAGGCTGGTCTTGAACCCCCAACCTCAGATGATCCACCTACCTCAGCCTCCCAAAGTGCTGGGATTACAGATGTGAGCCACTGCGCCCGGTCTTTTTTTTTTTTTTGGAGATGCAGTCTCACTCTGTTGCCTAGGCTGAAGTGCAGTGGAATGATTTCAGCTCACTGCAACCTCTGCCTCCCATGTTCAAGGGATCCTACCACTTCAGCCTCCGGAGTACCTGGGACTACAGGCACATGCCACGAGGCCTGGCTAATTTTCATATTTTTAGTAGAGATGGGGTTTCCCCGTGTTGGCCAGGCTGGTCTCTTACTTCTGACCTCAGGTGATTTGTCCACCTCAGCCTCCCTAAGTGCTGGGATTACACGCGTGAGCCACCACACCTGGCTGCAAACCATATTTTGAGTAAACATTTCTCTTATTATTGTTTTCCAGTTCATACTAGTGTGTTTTTTTAGTGTAGGTTTCTTAATATTAGTTTTTTGTGCTTTTTAATTTTACATATGTATTATAATTTCAGACAATTTGCAATTCTGTTTGTACATTTTAAGTCAATGTGGGATTTACTTAAGCGATACATTAGCCAAATGTCTATCACAATGACAGAATATATATTTGTGTGTTTATCTATAAATATAACCACAATTTTGGTTATGACTTATCTTGTATATATTCTTTCTTAGTTGATTTTTTTTTTCTTTTTCTTTGTTTTTTTTGAGATGGAGTCTTACTCTGTCTCCCAGGCTGGAGTGCAATGGCATGATCTCGGCTAACTGCAACCTCTTCCTCCCAGGTTCAAGCAATTCTCCAGTCTCAGCCACCCAAGTAGCTGGGATTACAGGCACATGTCACCACACCCAGATAATTTTTGTATTTTTAGTAGAGATGGGGTTTCACATGTTGGCCAGGCTGGTCTCAAACTTCCGACCTCAGGTGATCCGCTCACCTCGGTCTCCCAAAGTGCTGAGATTACTGGCATGAGCCACTGTGCCTAGCCCACCCCCTCGCCACTTTTTTTTTTCTTAATTTTCAGTGGTTGTTTTATCTTGTCTAATTGAGTAGTCATGGAAATAGTTTTATTTTCACCATGTGTTTAATGATAAATATATATTTCCTCTGTGTGAGAGAAATACTTTTGTGATTTGAAGATAATTTATGAAAAGATTTATGATTCTGTATTTTTTCAGATTTGTTTTGAGAAAAATTAATTGTAAAAACACATAACATAAAATTTACCATCTTAAGTCTATTGAAGTGTACATTTCAGGGCCAGGCATGGTTGTGGCTTACATGTGTAATCCCAGAATTTGGGGATGTTAAGGCAGGAGGATTGCCTGATCCCAAAAGTTTGAGACCAGCCTGGGCAACATATGGAGATTCCCTCTCCACAATTTTTTTTTTTTTTTTTTTTTTAACCCAGGCATGGTTGTGTGCAACTGTGGTCCCAGCTCTTTGAAAGATTGAGGGAGGAAGATTACTTGAGTCTGGGAATTTGAGGCTACACTTAGCCATAATTGTGCCACTGCACTCTGCCTTGCATGACAGAATGAGACCCTGTCTCAAAAAAAAGCTGTACATATCAGGCATGTTAAGTATATTCACATTGTTATACAAAAGACTTCTGAAAATTTTACATCTTGTAAAACTAAAACTCAATATCCATTAAGTAACAGCTGAACATTTTACCCTTTCTCCAGCCCTTGACAAATATCCTCCTACTTTCTGTTTTTATGAGTGTGACTACTTAAGATATCTCCTATAAATGAGATCATATAGTATCCATCATTTTGTTATTGGCTTATTTCAGGTGACATAATATTATCAAAGTTTGTCTTAAAGTGTGTCAAGATTTTTTTTAAGGCTGAATAATATTCCATTGTACTTATATGTTACATTTGTTGATGTATTTATAAGTCAAGAAAGGGTTGCTTCAGTCTTTTGGGTTTTGTGAATACTGGTACAGTAAACATCAGTGTTCAGATATGCCTTGTAGGTCCTACATTGCAGAGTTTGCATATCGATTTACAAATTGAATTGTTATATTTAATAATTCCATTTTTAATTATTTGAGTAACATTTATAACATTTAAAAACAGTGGCTGCGGGCCAGGCGCGGTGGCTCAAGCCTGTAATCCCAGCACTTTGGGAGGCCGAGACGGGCGGATCACGAGGTTAGGAGATCGAGACTATCCCGGCTAACACGGTGAAACCCCATCTCTACTAAAAAATACAAAAAGCTGGCAGAGCGAGGGGGCGGCTAAAAAAAAAAAGAAAAAAAAAAAAAACAGTGGCTGCATCCTTGTTTTACACCAACAGATAACAGGTTTTCAGTTCATCAACATATTTAATGTTTTTAAAAAATTGATAGTGGCCATTCTAATTGGTTTGAGTTGATTTTTTCATGTGATTTTTATGCATTTCTGTACAAATGTAATTTCCTGTGTCCTTTCAAACGCTTTTTCCCATTTTTGTATTTTTTTGATGAAAACGAATTTCAATTATTAGTCCATTTAAGACTTGTTTATATATTCTCAGTATTAACTGCCATGGACCTTGCTTGACTGAACAAAGGAGGATGAATGCGGGAATAAAGGCAAAAACAAAAGAGTATATTTGGAAGAAGGGGTCAGGGGGTTCCTTGCTTCTAGTGAACAAGGGTCCTGAACTTCTATAGCCCTTGGTATTTATTGAGTAAGAGAGATAGGGAGAAGGGAGAAGGGGGTGGTTGTCAGTCACTTAGGGCAGGCTTGCACGACTGCATTCTTTGAACAGTAGTCTCTAGATATTCCAGTAGATAACCTCAAGGAGCATGGCACGGCACCAGGGAGTGACTGCCCTCAGCAAACCTTCTGGTGGCAGGCACAGATGTGAATTTGCTTACATCCTGCACTCATGATAAACAGTTTGCTGTTTGATCACATAGCCTTCAGTGGAATGCTGAGTTGGTCACGACCCTCGGACCTTTAGCTCCCTACAGTTAACTCTTATCACATATAATTTGCAAATATTTTTGCTTATTTTCTACAAGGTATTATCACTCTAATGTTTTTTTGATGTGTGGAAATTTTGAAGTGTAGTGTAGTTACTTTTTTCTTTGTTGTTCATGCATTTAATGTCATATCAAAAAAAAAATGGTGCCAAGACCAACATCATGTCATTTCTCTTTTTTTCCTAAGGATTTGTTAGTAATTTTTATATGTTTAAGTATTTTATTTAAAATATTTTTTATATGTGATACAAAGAAAGAATCCAGCTTTGTCAGTGTTGGTGTCCAGTTTTCAACATGATTTTTTGAAGAGATTATCTTTTCTCTATTGTGTGCTCATGGCAACGTTGTAAAAGATTATTTAATCATATTCCGAAGAGTGTATTTCTGGGCTGTCTATTCTGTTTTTTCATCTGTTTATCTGTGTTTGTGTCAGTACCACCTTGTATTTGTAGCTATTAATATATTTTAAAATCCAGATATATAACACCTCCTTGTTCTTTTTCATGAGTGTTTGGCTCTAGTTTATAATCAAATTTAAAACTTTTAAAAAATATTCTTGTAAAAATTGTGCTTTGGGGATTTTTGTAGAAATTATATTGAATGTATTCATCACTGTAAGTTGTACAGACATCTTTGAAAAATTAAATTTTTTGACCCTTGAGTAAAATTATGTTGAAGAGTATGTGTTATTTTCATATATATTTGGATGTGCCAGTTTTACTTGTGCTCTCAATTTCCAGTTTCATTCAGTTTTAGTCAGAAAACATTCGGTGTATAATTTTTATTTTCTTACATTTATTTGTTGTTGTTGTTGTTGATTTGAGACAGGATCTCTTTCTGTTACCTAGACTGGAGTGCAGTTACTGCAGCCTCAACCTTCGGGGCTCAAGTGCTCCTTTCACCTCAGCCTCTTGAGTAGCTGGGACTACAGAGATACACTACCATGCCTGGCTAAGTTATTGATTATTTGTAGGGACAGAGTACTACTATGTTGCCTAGGCTGGTCTCAAACTTCTGACCCCAAGAGATCCTCCCATCTTGGTCTCCCAAAGTGTTGAAATTACAGGCATGAGCCACAGCACCCACCTGGTATTCTTAATAAGACTTGTTGTGTATCCTAACAGAATACACCAGGTGCAAATAAGAATATTGTGTATTTTCTTGCTTTTAACTGGAAATTTTTTACGTGTCTGTCAAGCCTTGTTGGTCTATGATACAACCTAAAGGTTCACATTCCCCAAATATTATGCTGCAATGCAGTCCTCAATGTTGGATGCAAAACCTGGTGGGAGGTGTTATGGCTTGACATCAACCTCTTGGTAATCAAAAACTTTACCCTCTTAATTTAAATGAGAACTGGTTCATTATTTCACACTTGCTCTGTCCCTTGCCATGTGATATGTTCAGTTACTCTTGGCATTTCACCATGATTGTAAGCTTTGTGAAACCCTCACCAGAAGCCGATGCTGGCACACACTTCTTGTACAGTCTGCCAAAGTGTGTGCCAAATAACCTTTTTTCTTTTTTTCTTTCCTTTTTTTTTTTTTTTTTTTTTGAGACATAGTCTCACTCTGTCACCTAGGCTGGACTGCAGTGGCACAATCTTGGCTCACTGCAACTTCTGCCTCACTGGTTCAAGTGATTCTCCTGCCTCAGCCTCCTGAGTAGCTGGGATTACAGGCATGCACCACCATGCCTGGCTAATTTTGTATTTTTAGTAGAGACAGGGTTTCACCATGTTGGTTGGGCTGGTCTCAAACTCCTGACCTCAGTTGATTCGCCTGTCTTGGCCTCCCAAAGTGCTGTGCTTACAGGCATGAGCCACCATGTCCTACCAACCTTTTTTCTTTATAAATTATCCACTCTCAGGTATACGTCTATATGCAAAATAATTGAAGTTGGCAATTTACTTTTAAAGGTATTATGTTATATTGGGAAGCAGAAAGATCTGTGTTGGGTGAATGTAACAGACTTTCTTTGTGGCTCTTTGCATTCTGCTCACACACTTAACTAATTTATAAATTTTCCACAAATGTATTTTGGTCAATGTGTTTTTGTTACATTTATATTTCTATTAAGAAATTAGGGCCTTTGGGCTGGGCACGGTGACTCATGCCTGTAATCCCAGCATTTTGGGAGGCTGAGGTGGGCAGATCACGAGGTCAGGAATTTGAGACCAGCCTGGCCAACATGGTGAAACCCCATTTCTACTAAAAATACAAAAATTAGCTGGGCATGGTGGTGCATGCCTGTAATCCTAGCTACTCAGGAGGCTGAGGCAAAAGAATTGCTTGAATCTGGGAGGCAGAGGTTGCAGTGAGCTGAGATCACGCTGCTGCAGACCAACCCAAGTGACAGATTGAGACTCCATCTCAGAAAAAAAAAAAAAAAAAAAAAAAAAGAAGGAATTAGGGCCTTTGGTATTTTGCTATGCCATCTTGCTTGTGTAATTTGTATAATGGTATAGGTTGGATTTGTAAAGTATATTTAGAGTCTATCAAGTGAAGTCGTTTGTTATTTTTATTTCTTTCAGTTACTTGTTCTCATTTTGCCCAAGACTTTTCACCAGAGCAGAACATAAAAGATTCTTTCCAAAAAGTGACACTGAGAAGATATGGAAAATGTGAACATGAGAATTTACAGTTAAGAAAATGTGGTAAAAGTGTGGATGAGTGCAAGGTGCAAAAAGGAGGTTACAATGGACTTAACCAATGTTTGCCAGCTACCCAGAGCAAACTATTTCATTGCGATGAATATATGAAAATCTTTCATAAATTTTCAAATTTAAATGGACATAAGATAAGACACACTGGAAAAAAACCTTTTAAATGTAAAGAATTTGGCAAATCATTTTGCATGTTTTCAAACCTAACTCAACGTAAAATAACTTGTACTAGAGTAAATTTCTACAAATGTGAAGACTGTGGAAAAGCCTTTAATGGATCCTTAAACTTTACTAAACATAAAAGAATTCATAGTGGAGAGAAACCATACAAATGTGAAGAATGTGGCAAAGCCTGTAACCAGTTCACAAACCTTACTACACATAAGATAATTTATGCTACAGAGAAACTCTACAAATGTGAAGAATGTAGCAAAGCCTTTAACCTGTCATCACACATTACAACACGTAAAATAATTCATACTGGAGAGAATCCCTACAAACGTGAAGAATGTGACAAAGCCTTTAATCAGTCCTCAACCCTTACTACACATAAGATAATTCATACTAGAGAGAAACTCAATGAATATAAGGAATATGGCAAAGCTTTCAACCAGCCCTCACACCTCATCAGACATAAGATAATTCATACTGGACAGAAAGCCTACAAATGTGAAGAATGTGGTAAAGCCTTTAACCAGTCCTCACACCTTACCAGACATAAGATAATTCATACTGGAGAGAAGCCCTACAAATGTGAAGAATGTGGCAAAGCTTTTAGACAGTCCTCACACCTTACTACACATAAGATGATTCATACTGGAGAGAAACCCTACAAATGTGAAGAATGTGGCAAAGCTTTTAACAAGTCTTCACACCTTACTAGACATAAGAGCATTCATGCTGGAGAGAAACCCTACCAATGTGAAGAATGTGGCAAAACTTCTAACCAATCCTCAAACCTTACTGAACATAAGAATATTCATACTGAAGAGAAACCATACAAATGTGAAGAATGTGGCAAAGCCTTTAAGCAGTTCTCAAACCTTACTACACATAAAAGAATTCATACTGGAGAGAAACCCTACAAATGTGAAGAATGTGGCAAAGCTTTTAACCAGTCCTCAATTCTTACTACACATAAGAGAATTCATACTGGAGAGAAATCCTACAAATGTGAAGAATGTGGCAAAGCTTTCTATCGATCCTCAAAACTTACTGAACATAAGAAAATTCATACTAGAGAGAAACGCTACACATGTGAAGAATGTGGCAAAGCCTTTAACCATTCCTCACACCTTGCTACACATAAAGTAATTCATACTGGAGAGAAATTCTACCAATGTGAAGAATGTGGTAAAGCCTTTAACCAGTCTTCACACCTTACTAGACATAAGAGAATTCATACTGGAGAGAAACCCTACCAATGTGAAAAATGTGGCAAAGCTTTTAACCAGTCCTCAAATCTTACTGTACATAAGAAAATTCATACTGGTGAGAAACTCTACAAACCTAAAAGATGTAACAGTGATTTTGAAAACACCTCAAATTTTTCTAAACATAAAAGAAATTATACTGGTGAGAAATCTTAGAAATCTGAAGAATGTAACAAAGCCTTTAAAGGTTGTCACGCTTCATTGTACATAATTCATACTAAAAACCGTAGTGTGAAGAATGTGGCAAAATTTGTAACCAATGCTCACACCTTATTGCACAGGAAACGATTTGTACTAGGAAAAAAAATGTCAAATATACAGAATGTGAAAAAGCCATTAATACCTGTTCACATCTCAGCATCAGAAAGTTCATACTTAATAAAAGCATTATACATGCAATTACGTCAAAAATCTTTCAGAAAATATAAGCCTTTAAAGTGAAGAGTATTCATTTTGACAACATACATTATGAGCATAAAGCGGGTTGTAGTTGTTAGGCAGGAATCTAGACCCAACATGGCGATATCACCTGGCATGGTAGGCCCTTTGTTAGGACTCCCTGCCCTTCACTTCCTGCTAAGTCAGTGTGCGAAAAAAGCCCGTCCCCGCCAAAGAACCCCCACTCTGCGCAAGCTCCTGGATATATTATTCCCCAGAAATCGAAACCTACCTCAAGAAAGCCGATACCTACAAACCCCGCCTACCTCGCCCTACAAAAGGCCCCCCAATACCCGCCCCCAGGGCGACTTCCTCGGCCCTCCTGATAGAGGACCGGTTAACCTCTCCAGCGAGCCCAATAAAGGCTGCCTTTGTTCTCATCTGCCTGGTGTCTTCTTGCTCGGCTCCCTTGTTTACATTACATTGGTGCCAAAAGTCCGGGAGGAGGCTTCCCCCAGTCCTCCGCCGGTCCGGGTAGGCTCTGCTCTCCTCTGAGCCGGGACCTCCTCTCTGCGCAGGGAGCCGTTTTCACCAAAATCAGGACTTGATTCGATCACTGCTGGGTAAGTTTTCCCCTGTCCTGCAGGCCCCCTCCGGGAATCCCTGTCCCAAACGCGCAGCCACGTCAAGGGCTCCCTCCGGTCAACTGTGACCTCGGCACCGGGGACTAGGAGACATCCAACCTCCCCGGAAGTCACGTATCCCGCACTCCATGTGGCAGTGAGAGGACGCTCCCGCTGCCTCCGGACTGCCCGCCTCAGAACCAGGGGGGCTGCCCAGTCCAAATCAGACCCAAAATCCCCTCTGGGGTGCCTCTTGGCTAATTTCTAGACTTTAGGTCTCAGCCAAGACCTAAAAGGAAAGCGGCTTATTTTCTGCACAGTGGCATGGCCACAGTATAAATTGGATGACCAGTCTCAGTGGCCTGCAGAGGGCACTCTAGACTTTACCATTCTCACGAATCTGACCAACTTCTGCAAGAGACTAGGCAAATGGTCCGAGGTACCCTGTGTTCAGGCCTTTTGGATCTTGAGTTCACACCCGCACGTCTGGGCCCGATGTTCGTTGGCCCAGGTCTTGCTCGTGAAATCTTCTTCCTCAAGCAAGGAGAAGGACGATTCTTCCTCCTCTGAGCCTCTTGATACTCTTTCCCTGCACCCCCTTCGTCCCCCCCGCTCAACCTCCCCCTTCTTCCTCCCTCTCTGAGCCTCCTGATACTCTTTCCCTGCCCCCCACTTCGGTCCCCCACCCAACCTCCCCCTTACCCTGACCCGACGTCTCTGTCCTCGTGGGCACCACCGCTTCCCCCCACCGCTCCTGTGTCCCCACCAAACCTGACGGACCCTGTCTCTCCTACCTCCTCCTCCTCCTTGTCGCCAGTCTCAGTTCATACCCAGTCCAGGAGCGACCTCCTGTGCCCCTTGCAGGAAGTGGCAGGCGCGGAAGGAGTGGTCCGGGTCCAATTGCCAGTTCTCGCTGGCAGACCTGTCTATGATTGAAGAGCGTGCAGGCTCAACCCTACCCATTGATTTTATACAATTATTTGACTGGAAAATAAGTATTTTGTTAATTTACTCTAAATCAAGAGACTAGATTTGCAATCTGCAGTCTTTCAATATTAGAGCAAGTCAGAGGGCTGGACGCGGTGGCTCATGCCTGTAATCCCAGCACTTTGGGAGGCCAAGGTGGGTCGATCACAAGGTTAGGAGTTCGAGACCACCCTGGCCAACATGGTGAAACCCTGTCATTACATTATAGTAGGAATGCTCCATAATTAGCAGAAGTACTTTTTGTGTTTTTTTTTTTTTTGAGACGGAGTCTCGCTCTATCCTTAGGTTTGAGACGGAGTCTCGCTCTGTCGCCCAGGCTGGAGTGCAGTGGCCAGATCTCAGCTCACTGCAAGCTCCGCCTCCCGGGTTTACGTCATTCTCCTGCCTCAGCCTCCCCAGTAGCTGAGACTACAGGTGCCCGCCACCTCGCCCGGCTAGCGTTTTGTATTTTTTAGTAGAGACGGGGTTTCACCGTGTTAGCCAGGATGGTCTCGATCTCCTGACCTCATGATCTGCCCATCTCAGCCTCCCAAAATGCTGGGATTACAGGCTTGAGCCACTGCGCCTGGCCAGAAGTACATTTTTAATAAATTTACGATATTTTCAAGGTTTTTTGTTTGTTTGTTTTGAAATAGAGTCACTCTGTCACCTAGGATGGAGTGCAGTGATGTGATCTTGGCCGACTGCAACCTCTGCCTCCCAGGTTCAAGCAATTCTCCTGCCTCAGCCTCCTGAGTAGCTGCGATTACAGGTGCCTGCCACTGCGCCTGGCTAATTTTTGTAGTTTTTTTAGAGACAGGGTTTCACCATCGTGGCCAGGCTGGTTTTGAACTCCTTACCTCTTGATCCACCTGCCTCAGCCTCCCAAAGTGCTGGGATTACAGGCGTGAGTCACTGCGCCCAGTCATTTTCAGGGTTTTTAAATTGTGAAAACAAATAATTAGGTATGCTTTTTCATAATAAGGTCAATTTTAGCAGGGTACCCACTCATCTCCATAGTATTTCTGTAATGAATAGTGTAAAACTGTTCCACTAGAATGCTGATTTAACCACAATGAGTTCAGACTTATTGGTAGACTGTGGTATTCCAGAGGCTGATCATTCACTAAGGCTTACTAAATGCTGCCTGAAAATGCCAGTAAGCACTTTTAACCAGGTTGCCTCTTTTCTCCCAATGATGTGATCATGTTGTGGTCTCTTCTGTTTATCATAAGCTATTCCAGATTAGAAGTGATTATCTTTTGCACAAATAAGACCTCTTTTTTTCCCTTTTCCATGGGATCCTCCTGTTCTCCCTGCTTGAAACAACATGTAGGAGGCAGATATAATGACAATATACAAATATATTTCCTTCCATGTTGCCACTATGAGCAGATTACAACATGGCCCAGCTGGAAATCACTTACTTCCAGGCCAAGGAGTGTTTTTCTATGATGTGTCTTTTTCTATTAAAAGCACCTCTGATTTAGTTTACCCAATAGTAACCTAATTTCATGAGTGATTTCCCACCACAGTCACACATGGTTTTTTTGCAAGAAAAGAAAAGATTACACAGCAGGTGTACAACAAACTGAGAATCTTGAGGATAATCTCAGCATTTTTTGTTCCTAACTGAATAGACCTTGTTTTAAATTTTTTTTTATTTTTTATACTTTAAGTTCTAGGGTACATGTGCACAACGTGCAGGTTTGTTACATATGTATACATGTGCCATGTTGGTGTGCTGCACCCATTAACTCGTCATTTACATTAGGTATATCTCCTAATGCTATCCCTCCCCCCACCCCCTCCCCACAATAGGACCTGGTGTGTGATGTTCCCCTTCCTGTGTTCAAGTGATCTCAATGTTCAATTCCCACCTATGAGTGAGAACATGAGGTGTTTGGTTTTCTGCTCTTGTGATAGTTTGCTGAGAATGATGGTTTCCAGCTGCATCCATGTCCCTACAAAGGACACGAACTCATCCTTTTTTATGGCTGCATAGTATTCTATGGTGTATATGTGCCACATTTTCTTAATCCATTCTGTCACTGATGGACATTTGGGTTGATTCCAAGTCTTTACTATTGTGAATAATGCCGACCTTTTTTTTTTTTTTTTTGAGATGGAGTCTCACTCTGTCACCCAGGCTGAAGTGCAGTGGGACCATGTTGGCTCACTGCAACCTCCATCTCCTGGGTTCAAGCAATTCTCTTGCCTCAGCCTCCTGAGTAGCTGAGATTACAGGTACCACTACCACACCTGGGTAATATATATATATATTTAGTAGAGACAGGGTTTCATCATGTTGGCCAGGCTGGTCTCAAATTCCTGACCTCAGGTGATCCACCCACCTTGGCCTCCCAAAGTGCTGAGATTACAGGCATGAGCCACCGTGCCCAGCCCTAAATACACTTTTAAAAGTCTTTCAGTTGCTTTTGTTATCTCATTAAACAGACATCATCTGCAAATGATAGTTAACTACTTTCCAGTTATATTTATTGCAAATATTAGCTATTGTTTTCTGGCTTATTTATGTACCATTTTTTATCTTCATACTCACTTAGAACAATAAAAATGCATCCAATTATTTAACTTTTGTAAAATGTTTATTTAAAAATGAGCGTTAAAAATCATTTTGTCTTTTCTTCTTGAAGAGGGTTTTTATTGTTGTACTGAAGAGGGTTATCTCTGGATACCAAGCTGCCTTTGGTTTTTTGTTTTTGTTTTTCTGATGGAGTCTTGCTCTGTCACCAGGCCACAGTGCAGTGGCATGATCTCGGCTCACTGCAACCTCCGCCTCCTGGGTTCAAGCGACTCTCCTGTCTCAGTCTCCTGAGTAACTGGGACTACAGGTGCACGCCATCTCACCCAGCTAATTTTTGTATTTTTCGTAGTGATGGGAGTTCACCATGTTAGTCAGGCTGACGTCATGATCCACCTGCCTTGGCCTCCCAAAGTGCTGGATTACAGGCGTGAGCCACAACTCCCAACCTCTGTTTGTGTTTTAATACTGGTTTCGCTAGTGTGACCAAGTCCTTTCTCACAGTGGCTTTGTTTCTTCCTCTGTAAAATGAGAATAATAATAAGACCTATGTTATTAAGTTACTGTGACAATTGAATTCAGTAACACATACATAGTGTTACAATTAGTGATCAGTATAAATTAGCTACTTTTAATGAGATATTTATATGCTGAAAATTACACTAACATATGCTTTAACATAGAAATATTCTTTCATAACATGAGTTTTTCCACCAACAGATAAATATATATTAAAATTAATTCTTCTAAAAATGTAGTATAAGCAATGGAACACTATTCAGCCTTAAAAGTGGGTAAATCTCATCATTTGAATCAACAGAGATAAATTTAGAAGACATCGTGCTACAAGAAATAAGCCAGACATAAATAGACAAGTACTGCAAGATTTATTTATATGTTAAACCTAAGAAAGTTTAACTCAAAAAAGCAGAAAGTGGAATAATAGTTATCAGAGGCTGAGGGTGGTAGGAAAGAAATAGAAAGTTGTGGCCAGGCACAGTGTCTCATGCTTGTAATCCCAGCAGTTCCGGAGGTCGAGGTGGGCAGATCACCTTAGGTCGGGAGTTTGAGACCAGCCTGACCAACATGGAGAAAGCCCATCTCTACTAAAAATACAAAATTAGCCATGCGTGGTGACATGCACCTGTAATCCCAGCTACTCAGGAGGCTGAGGCAGGAGAATCGCTTAAACCTGGGAGGCGGAGGTTGCAGTGAGCTGAGACTGTACCACTGCACTCCAGCCTGAGCAACAGAGTGAGACTCTGTCTCAAAAAAAAAAAAAAAAAAAAAAAAAAAAAAAAAAAAA